GGATCACATTAGAGGGCCTTAACGAAACTCTATGGCCACTGCTGCTGCAGATTTTGTGAAATGTGTTGAGGGAAATTATGGATAGGGCAGACCCCGTGTCAAGTTCCATCGATAATGGAATTCCCTGCAATTTCACTTTAAGTGTTAGCTTCTTTTTAAGGGGTTTGTGTGTGCCTATTCTTAAAATGTTCCGGCGTGTTGCACAGAACCCCACCCTGTTTTAGCTGCGCACCCTGGTACCTTTCAGATTCAATTCTTCCTTCGGTTGTACCTTCTGTCGACCCAGGCAGACCGCAGCGATGTGGCCCTTCTTTCTGCACGCACGGCAAATGGCGGAACGGAACTGACATTCTGCTCGCTTGTGGCGTCCACCACATCTGAGGCAACGAAGCTCAGCTGGGCCCTTGTCCTGATGATCCTTGGACCTTCTCCCAGCTGCTTGGTAAAGCTTGTCCACCTCTTCTTCAGGATCTTCGTCCGAATCCTCGCGCACATCTTCCTTGTGAATAGTCGCGGTCTCTGGAACGTTTCGCTTAGGCCTCATGTTTTTGACCGCCCCGCCGGCAGCTTCTTCAGCCAAAACCTCTTGCAGAGCATCTTGGAAGGAGACATCTTCCCTGGCGAACAGTCTCTGCTGCAATTCTGTGTTTCTCAGTCCGCACACAAAACGATCGCGCAGCCTTTCCTCTAAGTCCTTGAAGTCGCACGGTTTAGCTGCTCTTCTCAAGGCCGCAACGTAGTCTTTTGCTGATTCTCCAACTTGCTGATCTCTCTGTTGGAATGTGTGTCTCCAAGCCATGACAGATTGCTTGGGCTGAAAGTGTTCCTTTAAAGTTTTCTTGAGGTTGGAGTATGATACCGTTTCCAGTGAGTCCAGGGCGATTAAGCTCTCGGCGATCTCAAAGGCATCTTGCCCACAAACGCACAACAATGTGGCAGCCTTCAAGCCTTCCTCCCGAATCTGGTTTATGCGGAAATACGTCTCGACTCTTGCCACGTAAGATTCCCACCTCTCGGGGTGAGAGACATCGAATTCTGCTAAACGCCCAACTTTTGCCATGATCGAGGATCAGGTTTTCTTCTTCAGCCGCACGCACCCTCCAGCGATTTTGTACTGGCAGGATAACGCTGACTTCTACGCCGTTTCTCTTCCGGACTTCTTTGGGTAAGTCTTCTAGCTTTTCTTAGCTGTAGAGACTGTATCCCACCTTCGTCGCCAGTGTTAAGTCCGGAGAATAATGGCGCTTGAGACGAAGCATCTCCAACAAGTCTTTATTGTTTGCTCCATTCTACGAACAACCAGAGCAGAGGCACGCAGGCCTCTATTTATACCCTCTAAACCCCGGGCAAGTTCAACCAATCATGAGGCGGGCTTTTCCCGCCTTGCGCATGCGCACAAGGCTGGCGCTGCTCAGTCTGGTCCCGGGCAGCTTCTGCAAATGCCCGGGACTCTTGCAACATCCCAAGCCTGCCTCTTGCAGGCTCAGGACACAACAGTAAATGTGAAAAGTGGTCATAAGTCATTTTTTTCAGTGCCATTGTAACTTCGAATGAACACCAAATGAACTATTATAAGGGGAGAGAGAGAGAGAGAGAGAGAGAGAGAGAGAGAGAGAGAGAGAGAGAGAGAGAGAGAGAGAGAGAGAGAGAGAGAGAGAGAGAGAGAGAGAGAGACAGAACAGCCTTTTGAATCATTCTGTATTTTGCATTCTTTTTACCTTACATTTACCCAACTATGTTAATAAATTTATAGAACTTTCTTTAGCGGACATATACCCAACTTACACGCCCTCCCGTCTACAGCACATGATGTAGGCCAAGATTAGAAAGAGTAGAAAACCCAAGAGGAATGGAAGAAGGAAAGTAAGTAAGAAATCACTGAAAAATATCCTATCAGGAGCATCTTCAGGAGGATTAAATTCAGTCCCTTCTTCAAGCACTCCATCTCCATTAGCTGGCACAATTTCTGTGTCATTTATAGTTGTAAGGTCTATCTGAGAAATATAAAAAAGAAAAATGAGAGGGGAGGTGACCCTTTAGATCCTGGGATTCCTTAATTTCTCTCCCTCTCCCTCCAACACACAACTTTCTCCAACATCCTCTCACCAAAGTAAGGTTACACCAATCAACTTGGAATCGAGGACTGAAATGATCGTAACAGGTAATGATAGGCTGTTGCTCCAATCTGCATCGGTAAAGATTGTCAGGTGACTTTGCCTCTGTTAAGCATGTAGTGAATGGATCCTTGGACCCCACTTTGACATAAACCCTGAAGGACAAACAAAGAACATACTAATGATTACAGACCCGGGAGAGTACATCCTTTTTTTTCCCAACTTGAAATCCATTCTTGCCCACTGTGTGATATACCAAGGACCACATTCCAACAAAATAGATAAAACTAGAATGAAGAATTGGGCAGAGTCAAGACAGAAAGAAAAAGTACTTGAATTAAATGTAATTGCAATAAAATTTAACTTCTTCATAGTTGGATCACCCAATTATATTTAATAACTCAATAACCTCAATGATTACAATTCTTTGGCAAATTTTAGAGCAGTTCCAGAGGCTGCCCCCAAGGTTTTTGAGAGAAAGCACACAAGTGGTCCTGATGCTTCATACTGTATACTCTTGCTGGAAAACATAGATAGGGAAGAAACCTATAAATTGAAGCAAATTAAGTCCTTCAAATCAAAGATTTTAATCTTGCTAATAATGATGTGATGCCTTCCCACTCAAATTTACAACAAGACCATCTAGAAAATATTAGTGAAATCTATGTCGCTCCGGAAGTGAAACAAATACCCATCTCCAAATTAATTATAGGGAACTGCACTGACTGGACATCAATGAGATTTTTGAGTGAAGCTGAATTGGGATCAGCAGCAACAAATGAGATAGCAATATATCAAGATTTTCAACCACAGTCGCTAATTTATAAGCAGATAGATAATACTAGGCACGCAGCTTTACACTGCATCTTAGATGAGGGAAATTATTGGGGCTGAATTGTATAGAGCCAATGGATACCCCTCCTGAAAAGATTAGTTCCTTGCTTGCCAGTGACCCACATTTTGCTATCTATGTTTCACTGCTATCACCAACTTCATTGACAGAATTACAGCCTTTTTTGCCCTGTTATCAGGATAAGACTACACAGTTGGCAGAGTCACAACCACCAGTTGGTGAGAATTTATTGCCCCTGAAAATAATACCCATTCAACTCCCGGTAGATATTACTACTCAAGATGTGGTACAACAAGCAACACAAGACGAAACTCCATCTTTGGCCTCATTCCAAAAGAAAGACTTTGTGAATATATTTAATTCACCGGTAGCACTTTCAGATTCCAAATGACTCTATTCTGCAGAAGAGAGCATCTCTATCCTTTCCTGGAATGTTGTAGGCTCAAAAGCCAAGATGTCAGATGTTTCATTTATGGAATATATTTCTTCTTTTGATATCCTTTTGTTCCAAGAAACATGGGCTATGGAGGATCCATTACTACCTGGATATATTCCCTTTACTTTGAATGCAATTCCTAGCATAAAAAAGGGCAGACCATCAGGTGGCCTAATTTCTATGGTACCTGCTAAACTCAGTGTTTCAGTATTTATGCTTGAGTCTTGCTCAAATATAGCATTAGCCCTTCTACTTAGATTCAAATTTTGTACTGTATTATTGGTTAATGCCTATTTTCCTCCATTTCGTGGGCATAGAGAAATAAATAAACTGTGGGATCAGTTTGATGCCTATGTAAATTTGCTATCATTATCCAGACTCAATTATAATAATTGCTGGCGATTTTAATGCACACATTGGCAAATCTGATGCTTCCCTACAAACCTATTTTAAGTGGCAAGTGCCCTTTAAAATTGATGTAGGCTAAAGATCAAAAATGTAATATTGCAGGATTTCGTCAGGCTCAATTTGTGGACAGTTTAGATTTAGTCCTACTTAATGGCTCTGTCAGGGGTGATTTAAATGGAGAGTTCACATTCTGGCGTCCTAAGGGAGCCAGTGTAGTGGATTATATTATGATCTCTCAGAACTTTGTTCAGCATATAGTTTACTTTTATATTGGAACATGCCTTGATAGTGACCACTTTCCATTAATTTGTCTTTTTAATGCTAAGACAAATTTTGAATTATTAGAAGTGGCACATTGTCCCATTGATGTTACAATGAAGGGGCAAGTACAAATTAAATGGTCTCAAGAACTGGCTAAAACTATGGCTGAAATGTTGACCTCAGAGCCCCTGCTTCACATGCACGTTCAAATTTGCTCATCTGATTCATATGAACAAGCAATTTCGTTGTATCAATCAATCACCATTAATCTCCAAACTCCCCTGACAAGATTTACAACAGCTTATTGTGCGTGTGCGTATAAAAGATCTAAATCTTGGTATGATAGTGACTGCATTAAAGCAAAAAAAGCTCTCTTAAATGCAATAATTTCCTTTCGCCAGGAAAATTCTGCGAACGCCTCTAAATTACTCACCACAAATTTTTTTTATAAAGATCTCTTAAAGATAAAGAAACAACAGGCTATAAGAGAAAACTGGAGTAATCTAATTTCAGCAGCAAAGCTCAAAAATTCTACTTTGTTCTGGCATTTAATAAATCAGTTTTTTACAAATAGACGTTTTGGTCCTATTTCATAAATATCTGCTGACAAATGAGAGGATCATTTTAAAAGCATCTTTAAGCAGGTTCCTGCTGTAATTTCAGAAGTGATTCCCCCTTGTAATGACCTCCCAGATTGGCCTCCAGTATCCATAGCTGAGGTCAAAGATCTTATTGCCCAATTGAAATCAGGTAAAGCATCTGGAGGGGATTTTATCCCCCCAGAATTAATAAGGGAAAATAAAGACTGGTGGGCCCCAGTTTTAGCTATCCTATTCGCTCATATTAATAACATAGGACATTTTCCACCTGACTGGAATCAGGCCATTGTAGTATCGATATACAAAAATAAAGGAAGTAGACTTGACCCTGTAAACTATAGGCCTATTAGTTTACTAAATACAATAAATAAACTTTATGCCAGATTTTTATATACAAAGTTAGTGGATTGGGTACAAAATGAAAATATTATTGTTGAAGAACAGGCCGGATTTAGGGAGGAACGTTCAACACTGGATCATTGTCTAATTCTGCATCATTTGGCTGAAAAATATTCTACCCCTTCTCGTGGTTCTCTTTATGCAACATTTGTTGATTTTAAGTCAGCTTTTGATCTAATACCAAGGGAGAGATTGTGGTATAGTCTAAGACATTCCACGATTGATAAAAGGCTGTTGGTTCTTATTCAGTCGCTCTATTCAAATACCTCCCTAAAAATTAGATGTAGCCCCTGGGGACATTTATCTAAAGCAGTTCCAACTTATAGTGGTGTAAGGCAAGGTTGCATATTAGCTCCACTACTTTTTAATCTTTATCTAAATCCAATAATGCAAGTGCTTGCTGATCCAGCCCATCATCCACTTATCTTGGCTGATCGTGCAATTCCAGCACTATTGTATGCCGATGATATAGTCATTTTGTCCACTTCTCAGGTGGGAATGAGAAAAGCACTTAGGGCACTAGCTTTATTTTGCACAGAATACAAACTTTTAATAAATTATGAAAAAACTAAAGTTTTAGTATTTGCCTCATACCATCATAAGATCCATAAATGGCAAATTGATGGGACTTCAATTGAACAGGTGCGTACCTATAAATATCTTGGAGTGCAGTTTCATGCCTCCCTATCCTGGAATACTCATTTTCTTTATCGGGCAAGTGTAGCACAGCGCACCTCATCAGCTATTATAAAATTTTATCATTCAAAAGAAGCTTACTATATCCCGGCAGCTTGTAAGGTTTTTCAAGCTAAGGCAGTCCCTCAGCTCCTTTATGGCTCGCAAATATGTTCACTTGCAAAGCTTAATGTATTGAAATTATTCAAAATAAGTTTATTAGAGCCATACTGATGGTACCTAAAAGTATCAAAAATGCCATCCTACGGGTAGAAATAAGTACAGTTTCATTGGAAGCGAGAGCATGGTTCCTTCTTCTTACCTTTTGGCTAAAGTTAATTTTGATGCCTGTAGGTCTAGCCCCATTAGTATTTATAGATCATTTTAAATCGTCGTGGGGAAAAAAAGCCCTAGATAAAATTAAATCGCTGGGCTTCTCTATGGAAAGTCTGTGTTCATTAGGATTTGATAATGCTAGAACTGCCTTGAAACAACGAGTCTGGGATATAGACCTCCAAACAAACCTAAGTAAGGTGGCACATTCCAACATTTGTCACTTGCTTCCAGAAGGATTCTTTCCAGCTTCTTATCTATTTTCCATTACAATTTTGAAATTTTGTAAAACTTTCACCTTAGCCAGGCTGGATGCATTGCCCTCGGCAGTCCTTTTTGGACGGTTTAAGGGCATTCCTATGCACCTTCGGTTGTGTCCATGTGGTGATGACTCTATAGAAACTTTAAGCCATATGTTGCTTCATTGCTCTTTATATAAAGACTCTAGACAGATTCTTATATATCCGATATTGAAGAAATTTCCAGGCAGGGGATATGAATTTTATCTAAAATTGCTACTTTCGGATAAGGATCCGAAAATATCAATTCAGGTTGCCCAATTTTGTGCCACCATTTGCACAAGGTCTGGGGGAGAAAAAATTTAATACGATGTTTTATTTTGAGAATTTTGGATTATATTATATTGATTGTTTGGTGGTTTTATATCCTGTAAATATGGAAGTAAAATGGCTACTGTTGTTATACATGTTGATGATGTCTGGCCTTACAGCTGTAATAAACAGATTGATTGATTGAATCTTGCTATTATCTTACCTCAGTTTCTCGACCAATTGCTACTCAGAACCTTAACAATTGTACTTCGTCGTTTTCTGGGTCACATTTCTTACCCTTCTTTCCTGTTTTCAATCATCTCGGCCCCGCTCTCCTCCGGCCTCGTTCCCTGGCTTCCGGCCCTGGAGGGTCCAGCTTTGGTCCTGGCTTCCGGCCCTGGAGGGTCCAGCTTTGGTCCTGTTCCGGCCGGTGGAGGACTTGGCACGGCTTGGAGGATCTCGGCTTTGACTTGGTCTCTGGCCGTCGGAGGCCCTGGTGTGGCCTGGAAGGCCCGGAAGATCGTGGCTTTGACCGTGCTTTCGGCTGGCAGAGGACCCGATACGACCTGGAAGACCTTGACTGCGGCCCCGTTCCCGGCTGGCGGAGGACTTGGCACACTCCGGTTCGAGAGTCTGGCGGGCTGGTGACTTGGTTGGAGGAGGAGTGTGATCTGGTGGCCTGGAGGCTGGATGGTGGACTTGGTTGGGCTTTGGCCTGGCTCACTAATTTTACCAACTTTACCAACTCCACGAGG